CAGGAGCCGCCAAGGGAAAGAGGCAGAGAAAGAAAAGGAGCGAGGGGAATGGCAGAACAGGGAAGGACAGGAAAAGCGAGAGGAGGGTGAAGGAGGTGGCTTGCATCCTCTAGATCATGTAAGTAGCCATGAATGTGTCAGCTCCCCCATTCTGGAAGCACCAGGCCAGTCTTTGTGCTGTGGGGAGTGCTGCCAGGCCAGAGACGGGTTGGCTCATTTTTGTGGTGATTTCTCTGGACGGAGCGGAGCCCCAGTGACAGGGCTGGGGAAGGAGGGGGAATGCGAGGCAAGCCGAAAACTGGCCTCTTGGAGGGGAGCAGTGGGGTGTTTGGGCCAGGCGGGTGTTTTGTGGAAGGTCTTGGAGGAGGAGAGGCTGCGGGTGTGGCAGGTGGGAGCAAAGGGCGTGAGGAATCCTGCAATTCGGTCCTGCTTAGGGGCGTCATGAGACATGAACTAAACCACACACCCACGGATGGCACACGCTCAGCGCGCCGATTGTTACTGTCCACGTCACACACGCGAGCAGCAAAGCCCACATGGCATGCACGAACGCCACCCACGGACACACCTCTAACGCCACGGACCACACGCACAGACCCACTAACGCTGAGCACGGGTGCCACGCACATGAGCACAACACACAAACGTGGGGTGCACACACGCACGGGGGGGAGGGGTCACACCCTCACTGGCACAACACACAAACACTCTCCCCTACTAATGTGAAACACCGACCTGTTACTTGGCCTGGGCTCACATTTCTCTCTTTCAGCTCCCCAGGTCGCTGCAGGTTTCTCCTTGGAGCCGGACGGACAGCAGCATCACTAAGAGCCCAGCAAGGTCCCTGATCACTTCCACGGGCTGGGCTCCCCAGCTCCAGAGTATGCTGAGTTCTGGGAGCTGGGGCTGAGTTGTCAGCAGGGCTCGGTGCAGCTGACCCGTGTGTGCCCACAATCCCAGGGAATAGGCCACGGCCAGCTCTGCAGACGGCTACAGAAACGCAATGGAGGAAACCACCAGTACGGGTGTGAGTGGAGCTCTCTCCCCCATCTCTGGAGCACGGGACACGGTGCCTGAGGTGGGCCCTTGAAACTCTTATTTCACTCATTTCAGCCTCTCGCCCCAGCTCTGCCTGGCATGGGGATGGGGAAGAGGTTCTCCAGCCAAGGAGAATTCCCTGGAGAAGGAGCCAGCCAGAGAGCTGATAGCCAGGCAAAGACCTGTGTGCCCAATGAGTTTGTGGAGCTTCCCATGGGAGAGGTGCCCCCATCACCGAAAAGCCTGGCTCACCACTGGCAGAAATTAACAACAGCAATAATCTATCCTGCTCTAGTGCTTTCAGCCATACACTGATCCTCACAACCCTCCTGGGAGGCAGGTCAGCCTCAGCATCCGTCTTGTACAGATTGGGGAAACTGAGGCAGGGGACAGTCACGTGACTTGTGCAGACAGTCTGCAGCAGAGCTGGGAGTAGACCCCTGAAGTCCCGAGTCCTGCTCTAACTGCTCGGTCACACTGCCTCCTTTTGACAATTGTACCAGAGGCTAAGAACTGAATGGGCCACTCTCAGAGCTAGAGGCAGACCCTCCAGGTAGAGAAAACACACAATGGCTGAAACACTCCATCTGCCTGATTTCCTGACACCAGTAACAGTTCCTCCACTGCCCCCCAAAGGCAATACAGTGAAGAATTCTCTCTCCCCCTCCTGTTGACATGTGCAGCAGGTTTGACGCTGGTGGGCTTGTTTTTTACAAAAAGCGGCTTAAATATTTTGAGAGTTGCGGATTGCAGAGGGTTGGGGCTTGTTTCCTCTGGAGGTTGCTTACTTGGGCTTTTTTTGCAATAGGTGACTTCAACACAAAGTTCTAGTTTAAATGTGGTGTCGGTGATTGAGCAGCGTCAGGGTGATGCACTTCCTTAGAATTTGAGAATCCTCCTGTCCCCACTCCTGTTCAATTAAGAAAACACACCCAAATTCATGAACTTTGTGGCCCGCCCCTTGACACATCCTATGTGCCAATTTTTTGTCCCACACCAGGATATGCTCCAACGGTTCAACACAGCAATGTACCACACTGAGGCAACAGAGACCACGGAGGATGGAAAGAGGGAGAATGACCTTTTTAAAGAATGGAAGTACACACACATGTATTATTTTAATAGTTTTCATGTGTAACTTGTATGCAACAAAACTAGAACTACAAAAATTGGAATTTGTATTACCCCCCGCCACCCCCCGTCCTCCCTCTGAAATGGCCTGGGCTTGTTTGGAAAGGCAGTGCTGCTTTTCTTTCCTCGGGAGACTTGGCAACAAGGTGTTATTGCAATGTGCAAAGGCAGCATGAGGTAGTGAGCTGTAATGTAGCACAGGGGGTGCGGTCACGTCTCGGTGCCAGGGGTTCCTGGGAGCTGTGCTCTAGCGAAGGGGACACGGTCACGTCTCAGTGCCAGGGGTTCCTGGGAGCTGTGCACTAGCGAAGGGGACACGGTCACGTCTCCGTGCCAGGGGTTCCCGGGAGCTGTGCACTAGCGAAGGGGACACGGTCACGTTTCGGTGCCAGGGGTTCCCAGGAGCTGTGCACTAGCAGGGGGAAGGGCGCAGTCACGTCTCGGCGCCAGGGGTTCCCAGGAGCTGTGCACTAGCGGAGGGAAGCCCTGCTCTGAACCTATGCTGAGATAGCCCCTCTGTGCCCTTCCCAGCAGAGGCCCCAGGCAAGGTGGGGGGCAGTGCCAGCGTTCTGGATCACAGGGGTTGTGTTCAGCCAGCCGCACTGGCCTGTGGCTCCTCCCAGTGGATGGGAAAACAGGATGTTGTCTTTGGTCAGGAGAAGCTTGTTTGTGGCTTTAAGGCACAGCCAGCCTTAGTGGAGTGGTCAGGAGTCAGGCCAGGATTCCTAACCCAGCCGGCAGCTACAGCTATGGCCCTTCCCCTGCTCCAGAGCAGAATCCACCTTCCCCTTCCTCAGGAGTGGAACCTCTCCCACCAGTTCCTCCCACCCTCTCCAGCTTGGGGAGGGGTTCAGTATTTATAGAATACCCCCCCGCCTTGCTCCGGGTGAGATGAGCCCAGGCCAGTGCAGAGCCAGGAACCTCTCCTGCCCTCCCTCCCTGAAATGGGAGGGGTTCTGATAACAAAGGGGCCAAATCTTCTCCTTGGCTTTTGATCCCCCCCGCAACTCCTTTTAGGGTCAGAGCCCTACAATTACAACACCATGAAATTTCAGATTTAAATAGCTGGAAAAATCATGACATTTATGATTTTTAAAATCCTATGACCGGGAAATTGACTAAAATGGACCGTGAATTTGGTAGGGCCCTAGCTATGAGCCATGTCTGCTTCAGAGAGACGAGGGCTCCTGCTCTCACTCCCCAGCTCCTTGCCCAGGGACCCCTTAGGTCTCAGTTCCCAGTGACCCCTTCCAGTGATCCCACCCAGCCCAGGCATATTCCAGTGCTTAGAGCTGGGGATTCAGACATGGGCTTCCTGGGTTCTGATCCTGGCCTTGCCCCTGACCTGCAGGCAAATAATTTCCCCTCTCTGTGCCTCAATTTCCCCAGCGCTGACATGGGGGTAATATTGACCTGCCCCCCCCCAGGCGGGTGTGAGGCCAAACTATTATTTGAAAGGTTGTAGTTGCAAAATGCTGCAGCTGTTTATTAGACACCCAGAGTCGTGCCAAGGGCCTTGGAGCCCGCACTGCTGCTCTGGCCAGCACACCAGGTGCAGGCTTCCCCAGGCACTGCCAGCCAAGTCAAGTGGAGCACAGTGCACTGGGCTTTGCCTTAGCCCACAGGTCTGCGCGGTGAGATCATTAACTCTTTACCCTGGGCACAAGTGGCATTCGAGTAAGGTGGAAAGACAGCCGTCCGGTGCCAGGACCGGGCCAGGGAACTGAAGCGTGCCAATGGGTGCTATGCCTTAAGCTGCTGTGGCATTGGGGAAGCAGCCCGGATGAGATGTCAAGTTAGGAGAGTGGGCATCGGAAGGTCTGTGGAATGAAGCGTGATGCTGGGCTAGGTGCCATTTCTTAAGGTGTTTTTTGTCATTCATCTACCTAGATACTTCCATACCCCCTCCAGCCCCATCACAACAGGGCCCCATGGAGCTATGCTTTTATCCTCACAACCCCCTGGTTGTATTGTTTCCGTTTTACAGATGGGGAAACTGAGTCACAGAAGGATTTTTTTTTTTTTTTTTTCCCCAGTCATGCAGGGAGTCTGTTGCAGAGTGAGAACTGAACTCGGCTCTCCTGAGTCCCACGCCCAGTCCAAAAGCAGCCTTCCCCCCTTCGGCAGCTAGTGTATTAGCACAGCGCTGGGCCTTGCCGTGGGCCGAGCATGAGGCGGGCGACGGGCAATGGCCGCTCAGCCAGGCCCAGGTGTGTGCTCTGCTGGGACTGGGGACATTAGGACAAAGAGGGCCGCCCCCTGGGCTCCTTATGTCGGAGGTGCAGGTACCATTCTGGGGTCAGCTGGGAGGGAGCTGTCACCTTGCTGCAGGAAGTAGACTGGGGTGGGGGGAGTAGTGAGTCGCCTCCCCCTCTGTTCGGACGGGGTGCATCGGAGGATGTGGTGGGTGAGAAGAAGGCACGAGCCGGCTGACCCTTTAGCCCCACTGCAGGACTGGGGAGATGGGGCCAGGCGTTGCCGAAGTGCTGTGGCTATGCAGTGTGGGGACCCCAACAGCCAGTCAGTCGCCTTCCAGGCACTTAGGGCCAGCCCTGGTGGCTCCCTTAGGGGACTGTTATGGGGGATACCAGGGGGAGTTATAGGGCAGCAGGCTCCCAGACTCAGGGTGGGTGGTTTCTTCTCCAGCACCTTTATTTGGGGCTCCTGGGCCCCACAGGCTCTCCCCGTGTCCTCAGGTCCCCGAAGGGAAACGCATAGGAAGGGGAGGGCATAGCTCAGAGAAGGATTCGAGTCGCCACCCGCCCCAAAGTCAGACAGGTTGGGGGGGAGAGCCAGCCCCACCCCTCTGCTTGTCGGGCCCCACCGCCCCCTCACGGCTTGAAGCACTCCACAGGGTCGTTGGAGTCGGGGAGGACGTTGCAGTTGATGGGCCAGAGGAGGCTGAGGAGGCTGAGGGCCTGCTGGCAGCGCTGCTCCGCCGTCAGGCACACGGCGCGGCAGGGCTGCAGGACACCCCCGTCCGGCGTGCACTTGGGCACGAAGAGGCTGCAGATCAGCAGGCGCAGGTGCTGGTAGCAGGAGAGCCCCATCAGGGTCTGCGGGGAGAGAGGGTGGCAGTGAGCACCACAAGGCCTGGGGCACCGATGTTGGGGGCTGGCTTCCCCATTTATGGGTGCATTTCCCCTGGATACCCTATGCCCCCTCCTTCCACCCACAGCCAATTCTCCACCCAGCCTGCTCGCTTCCCACTGGGTTTCCTTCCCACCCAGCTGACAAATCCCGAGCTGGGCAGTGCAGTCTCCCCCGCGGCCCCCTGTGCTGGGCTCACCTTGTAGTCTCGGAGCATGGTGGCCGCCCCCTGCTGGTCTGGGATGGTCAGCCAGATGTTGGGGAAGGAGGTGGTGTTGTAGCTGAGGCCCAAGCACATCTCCACTTGGATCTGCTGGCAGGAGGACTCTGCAGGGGGGAGTGCAGGTGATACAGGTGGCAGCTGTATCTGAGCTGGGGGGGGATGCACTGGCTAGGACTTGCAAAGAACGTTTGCAGGGCCCATGGGCTCCAAAATCTGGATCCCAGCCCGGCAGGTGCCTCAGAGTTGGTGTACTGTCACGTCGGTGTGTATGGACAGATGTTCCCTGGGTGCAGGGCTGAGACCTACCAAACTCATTCCACTTGTGACCTGAACCGCCTGAGGGAAACTGGTGGATCGAGTCTCCCCACCCCATAAGCCAAGTGTTGGTCATTGCAAGAGCTGGGTTGAGCTAGGAGTTTCACTCACCAAAGGAGGGGGGTGAGACACTCGTGCAGTTGAATTCATCGCTCCCATCCGGGCAGTCGTGCCAGCCGTCACACACCGACTCCCGTGCCTGACATTCCCCGTTGCTGCAGGAGAACTCCGAGGGGCTGCATGTTTCTTGGAGGATGAGCGAGAAAGATGTCGGAATGAGCAGGTACTTGGCTGAGTACAGCGATGGGGCCTACATGCAATGGGCTGCGGTGTAACTATAGTCGCCATGGTGACCCTGCACTTGCAGAGCCAACCGGGCACACACGAGCAGTCAGCGACTGTAATTACAATGGGAAGCAGTGCCCAACTCTAGTGTAACTACAATATAACCATGGTCACTGGATCACAGACCCAACTGGACGGCGCTATCATATGGTGACTATAGCGAGCGTCCACATGCCAGGATAGCTACAGTGGTATCAATTCACCACTTCCCATACAGACAAGCCTGTACAACAGCCCTGCTTCACCGGACCAATGCACCGAGGAGGAGCAAAGGTCCCCTGGGAAGTACCTTGGAAAGAGGAAGCGGGGGAAAGGCAGACCTGGAGGGTGGTGGAGTGGACTCTCCTGATGGTCACTGCTAAGATTTCTGGGCCCTGCTGCTTTCTGTTTACCCCAGTGATTCCCCGGGGGTGGGGTTAGGGAGGCGATCCCATTGTTCTCCCTTGGTAACTGCAATCAGCTACTTACTGGGCAGCAACAGGGAAATGACAGGGTGTCCGGCCATTCCCTTGGTAAACACCCCAAGGCTGTTCCCCCTCCTAGAGCAAAACTACCCTGTGATCAGCCTAGCTGAGAAGGTCTCTGGCCCCTTCCCCTGGACAATCCCACAGCTGGGGAGGCAGAGCAATGGGCGAGACCATTGGATGCCCAGCTCCGTGCCAGCGATGAACCCGCTGCTGAGCAGCACCCTGGTAGAGAGTGCACATGGGTCTGCTCGGCACCAGGACATGCCGCTCAGAGACGGGTGACCCTGCCACCCAGTTGGAGAAAGAGCCAGGCAGCAGGGAGGGTGCGTTTCAGACCCAGGGACCTACTTTCCGTGGCGTTCCGGGCACGGTAGGTGGCAAAGAACCCGTCCTCCGCCACGCCCTCATCTGCCATGAACAGGACGGTCATGACGTGTCGTGAGGAGGTCAGGACGGGCGGCAGTTGGGAGCCACAGAACCTGCCGGGAGAGGAAATGTGATGGGAGTGAGGGGGCTGAGGAGTGGGGAAGAAAGACCGTGCGGGGGGGGGGGGGGGGGGAGGGGGGAGCGAGATGGAGAAAAAGGGGCGAGTGAGACAGAGAGGGAAAAGAAGAGAGGAGCAGAGATGGGGATGGGGATGGATGGTGTGTGGGAAGTTGTGGCCATGCCAAATGCCTCTGGAGACTTTTGCCCCCTCCCTGTGCAGCCCATCTTCTTGCTGTGTGCAGAATATTGGCTAGTACCTTGGGAGGGCATTGTTGCCTAGTGGATAGAGCACTGGACCGGCACTTAGGAGCCCTGGGTGCCTTTTCCCAGCTGTGCCACCAGCCTGCCTTGGGCAAGTCACTTCCCTGCTGTGTGAAACGGAGAGGGTAAGACCGACCTGCTTCGTACAGCGCCTGGGAGATGTATGGCTGACGAGAGGCAGTTAGTGCTGGGTCTGGGAGGGGCAGGACCTGGGTCTCTCCAGTGCTGAGAGTAGGAGAGAGGTGCCTCTTCCCCGCCCCCCAGGAGGTGGCTCTGCAAGGCAGCCCTGCTCAGGGAGTTCTGCCCGCCCCCCCTTCCCTCAATATCCTGCACCCAGCGGCGGACTGATGAGCTGCGGGCGCCTGTACCTGCCCAGGAGGCTGGGGGCGTCCGTGCCTGCACTGTCGTGCACCTCCACAAAGTCGAAGGTGCAGTCCTCCTGCGACTCCAGGCTGAAGTTGTGGAATTGCAGATCGATCACATGGCCCACGGGCACGGCGATCTGCCAGAGACACAGCTGGAAGAGACCGATGCCAGTGAGCCTGCGCCAGACACCCCTGCTCCTGTCTGGATGGGGAACTGCCAGCTGGGCACAGACCGGGTGGGATGGCGTGGGAATTATTTCATTATATTTTGTATGAAGTGCGTGTGCGTGCCTCAGTTTCCCCTATGTGGTGTATGGTTAAGTAGGTGGTGGGAAAAGGTTGTTTCCTCTTTGCAGAGACCCCGAGATCTGGGAATGTCTGACGCCTCACTGCCTGGAGTCCCAGAAGACAACAGCCACTCCAACTGGATGGACATTGGGCACCTAGCAACTAACGACCATGGATGCCAGCAGGGTGTGACCAGCAGGGGAACAAGGACAAAGGACGGAGGCGGGGCTGGGTGGGGTTGCTAAGTGGAGGGCTGCTGGAAGTGGCGGAGACGTTCCTGGACTGGGATTAAAGAGGGGTCAGAGGGCTCTGGGCCGGACGCAGATGCTCTACGCTGTAACTTTCTGTTCCCTGTGTTAACCAAGGGCTGTCTACATTGTGTTCCAGACATCTAATAAACCCTGTTGCTGTTACAGTTCTGGCTGAGTCACTGCAGTATAAGGAAGGCGGGAGCGGGGAATGCATGGATCCCTTTGGGTGCACACGTCTCCCGTAGGCGGACTTGCTGCAGGGAGCTCACGGCGGGAAGCAGGGGTGCTGAAGGCTCTGAGGTTCAGTCCCTGGAGGCGGGGAAGCCAAGTGGCACCCTAGTGAAAGAGTGTGACCCTAAGGGGGCTGGCACACTGAAGAGCTCCTCCCAGGGACAGTTCCAGAGCCACACGGGAGCACTGGACCTGATCCGTGACACCCTGCCCACCTCTGGATGGGGGAGCTGCCAGGGTGGCCCAGACTGGGGCATTTCTGGCTCTCCCTGGTGTTCCGGACACAATGGGGGGCCCCATTCCTCTGGGGCTTGGACAGCACAGGGCCAATCTGACCCACTCCACCTCCCCCACCCTCCGTAGCCCTGGTTCTCCTTTGTGGCGCCAACAGCTGCATGGTGGAGGTTGACCCTTGTCCTCTTGTGCCAGCTGGGCCACATGACACCACTCCCCGTAGCCTCCACTGCTTAGCACTCTTGCTGCCCCTGGCTCCTCCCTCACCTGCTGATGCGGGTACGGCTGGGGGTGGCTGGGGGTGGAGAACTGCCCCTCCAAGCTGGTCAACGATCCACCGCATTCTGGAACGAGAGAGACACCATGGGGCTGGATCTCTGCTCTTACCCAGCTGTGACTGGTGCATGCTGGTTGTTCTGCCTCCAGCCCTGTGACCCATGGGTTCTCCCCATTCCCACCCCCGCTGTCTGACTCAGTCCTGGCTTCCCAGGGCTCCCCGCACCCTGCAGCCCCTGGACAAGAACATTTCAGCCTGTCCAAGCTGAGGGATTTGCTCTGGCCCCACGTAGTCTGTTAGAGATCCCCCCACCCCACTCAGCCCCCAACTCATGGACTTTTCCTCCCATGGCTCTGCCCATGCCCCTCAGTCCTGACCCACAGCATCCCGTTTTTCCAGTCCTGGACCCCACCCACTTCTGCCAATGCCCCTCAACCATTACAGGAACCATCCCCCTGCTGTCCCAGGCCTGGGCTCCCACACTTCACCAGTGCCCTGTAAGCCTGTCCCGCCTGCCAGCTCTGCCAATGTCCCTCAGTCCTGACCCCCAACACCCCATTGCAACTCCAGTACAGGGCCCCATCCAGCTCTGCTGCTGCCCCTCACTCTGCCCTGCTAGCCCAGGCCTGGCACCCCACAGCCCAGCCCCTGCGTTGCCGAGCCATGCCGGAGGCCACCCGGCTGCCTGTACCTTTGTGTCTCGAGCTGCAGTTGGCTTCGTCGCTCTTGTCTGTGCAGTCGTGGAAGCCGTCACAGACAAGGCCCAGGCGGAGGCAGAGCCCCTGGTCGCAGAAAAACTCGTCCCAGGCACAGCTCTCTAGGACAGACAGACAGATGGACGAGGAAGAGGCATGGCTGCTGAAGGCAGGAGCCCATGGCTGGGCGAGGGCCTATGAACCTGGCAATGCCCCTTTGTCAGCAGCTCCCTGCCCAGGGCCAGGGCCCCATCTCCTGTGGGTTCATAGTTCTGAAGGCCAGAAGGGACTGCTCTGATCAGCTGTATAACAGAGCCCCCCTGCCCCCACAAGGCCGAGGCCCTATCCAAAGTGGGACCCCTCCCCGCCCCAGCCCCTGTGCCCATCTGCACCCCATTTTGTGCAAATCGAGTAGGAGACTCGGTGACCCGCACTTGAAGCTGCCCACAGGTGCCCAGGGCTTGGGGGTGGGCCTGCATCAGAGGGCCCCTGCTACCCTGGGAGGGTGAAGCCCCGGGGGGTGGGGTGGTTGTGTGGGGCTGCACTCACTGTCGCTGGGCAGGATGGCACGGTAGTGGGCAGTGAAGCCCAGGGCACCCACGCTGTTGTCTGAGACGAAGGTGACGCGCAGCCGGTTGGAGTTGGTGTTGATTGTCGGGGGCGCCACGTCCCCACAAAACCTGCAGAGAGCAGCAAGTGTGTGCAACCAGTGCCCCCTGCCCCAGAGACCCTGGCAAGTGGGGTGGGGAGCAGAAGCAGGCACCTGCCCATTAACCCCTTGGGCCCACGTGGCTGGGATGGCCTGGATCCCGTGGTGTGGTGGAGGCTGGATCTGCCAGGGTGCCCTCGGGGCAGCAGTAGAGCACAGGACAGCCCTGCTGGGCTCCCTCCACTCCGTTCCCGCTGCGCTGCTCTAGGGGGAGAGACCTGCAGGCCCAGGGTAGGGGGCGCTTTCGGACTCATGGGCATGTCAGTGCTGGCTGGAGGCAGGAAGGGTGGACAAGCTTCTCTCTCCCAGCTGTCAGTGCCCCTCAATCCTGACCCAGAACCCCCTGCCATGCCAGCCCTGGGACACTCTGTCCCCTGCCTTCCAGCTCTGCCAGCGCCCCTCAATCCTGACCCAGAACCCCCTGCCATACCACCCATGGGACACGCTGTGCCCACCAGCTCTGCCAGTGCCCCTCAATCCTGACTCACAGCCCCCTGCCATACCACCCATGGGACACCCTGTCCCTCCCAGGCTCCCACCCACCTCTGCCAGTGCCCCTCAATTCTGATCCACAGCCCTCTGCCATACCAGCCCTGGGACATCCTGTGCTGCCCCCCAGTTCTGCCAGTACCCCTCAGTCCTGACCCATAGACCCATGCCATACCAGCCCTGGGTCACTCTGTCCCCCAACAGCTCTGCTAGTGCCCCTCAATCCTGACCCACAGCCTCCTGCGCTGGGCTCCTGTGATGGCATGTACAAAGTCCGCACTGGATATGAAGGGGTTAAGCTCTGGGCCTAGGTGGAGGCACCTGCAAAGCTGCCCAGCTGGAGGGAAGGTATAAAAGGGAGACAGAGGGGTTAGGGCAGATTTCTGGGCTGGGGGAATGCTACCAATACAGTCCTGACCAAGGCTGCAAAGCAGAGACTGGAGAGACCCAGTGAGCAGGTCAGAAACTTTGTGGTTCTTTAACTTCCTCTGGGGACAGGGACTGTATGTAGGAAGTGACCTGGGGGGTGGCTACTTAGCACCCCAAGGTGCAGAGCCTGGCTGCCCACCATTGGGCTCTGTATGGGAGCCTGGGGGAAAGGGTGGGCCTGGGGTCCCCCACCCACTCCAAAAGATGGCACCCACAGGAGCCCTCTCCTTGGGGGAGAATCCAACTGGGGGAGCCCCTGACTGGCCAAGGGCCCAGAGCCCAAGTCCCCGAAGCCACGGGGAAAGCCCTGAAGTCTGTGGGTGCTGGAAGACTTCTCTGTGACTGGTGTCTCTTTGGGGACCCCCTAGAAGGAGTGGCTTGGCTTGTATGACCCAGCGGGGGGGTGAGCCACAGAAAAGGGGCTGCCCGCCCAAGACAAAATTGTAACTGACCAAGGGATGCTGGGGAGGGAGACAACCTGCTGCAGCCCTGCTTGAGTGCCAGGCAGCCCTGGCGGTGAGTGTCTCTCTTTTCTCCCACCCCCCCTTACTGCTTTACCAACACACCTCCCCTGGACCTTCTGCAGGCCTAGCTAGGCCCGGGCCCCTGGCAGATGGGACTCCAGGGCCCTCTGCAATTGGCAAACCCGTGGCCCAAGTCTGATGATCTGGTGGCTGATCTGAGCCGGGATGGGTGGGGATAGTGGGGGGCTGTGATTCACCCAGCCTGGCAGTGGGGTCCCTACCTGGATGTCCCTCCCCAGGGGGAGCCGCTGGCTGCCCCCAGCTCCTCGTACAGCTCCACCCGGTCGAAGAGGCACCACCTCGTGCCTTCCAGGCTGAGCGACTCGATCTTCAGCTGGATGACCAGCCCGTCCTCCACCTGGATGCGCCAGATGCACAGGGTGTTGGGTGGGTAGGGGGCAGGGTACCTGGGGGAGCTGAGGGAGCCCTCGGGGCCCTGCAGGGTCCCCCCACAGGCTGCACAGGGAGACAAGACACATTGGAGAGGGAAGGTTCAGTAGGTTGAGTTAAGAAGGGGTTCTCTTCCCATATCACCCAGGAGGGGGGAAAGCTGTGGGGTGGGGGGGCCCTCTCTGTGCCCCCAACCCAGGAGGGGGGAAAGCTGTGGGGGGGCCCTCTCTGTGCCCCCAGCCCAGGAGGGGGGAAAGCTGTGGGGTGGGGGGTGCCCTCTCTGTGGCCCCAGCCCAGGGGTGGGGCTCCTCTCTGTGCCCCTAGCCCTGGGGCTCAATGCTTACCCTAGTCAGGGATGGGGATCCCCTCTGCTCCTAGCTGCCCTCCCCACTGCTCCGCCTTACTGGGATTAACATGGGGCTAGTCAGGGAGGTGAGGAGGGGGGCTGTGAATGTGGCTCCCTGTGCTCTCCCCGTACAATGGAGTCTCGGTTCGGGGTCTGATGCTGTCCTACGCTCAGTAGGGTTGGGGGTAGATCTCTGGGTCCCCTGGCCTGGGGAGAGGCTCTGTGCTAGGCCCCAGGTACTCACAGGGCTCTGGTGTAGTGGCTGGGGGCGGCTCTCTCGGTGGCTCGGTGGCCATGGGCTCGGCTGTGCCAGCAGGTGCCGTGGTGGTGGCGGCGTGGTGGTGGGCGGATGCAGTCGCAGAGGAGGGTCCAGCCGGGCGTGAGGACTGCAGCTCTGCTTCCACAGGGAGAGCCAGGAGCGGGGGTCAGGTAGTGGAATGGGGGTGTCTGGGCAGGGAGCTGGGAGACTCATGTGGGGATCAGACGCTTGGGGGGAGTCCCAGGCTGCAGCTGTCCCCTCTGTTTGGCACCCCAGATCTCACCAACCCACCCATCCACGTGGGGGGGCTCGGAGCTAGGTGTTTGGGGAATGGGGGGGGGTCTATTCCCACCACCCCAACCTCAGTGGATTTCAGGCTGTCAATGATTCCAGCTGGAGGGTGGACCGGGTGGGGCCAGGGTCTTGATGGGGTAGCAGGAGCTAACCCTTACTCCAGTCCCACTCACTGCCCTGAACCCTGGGGCTTTGCTGGTGTGTAAGGCTGGAGCTGGGTCGTGCTGCCCCCCATGCCCCTGCTGCCCCTGCCCAGGTACTCACGGGAGATGATGATGATCCCCAGCAGCAAGGCGAGGAGCAGCAAGAGCAAGGCACTCATCAGCGCTACGCACAGCCAGGAGAAGGTGCAGTCGGGCCTGTGCTTCCTGCCCGCCCTGCTCCAGAGCGGCTGGCCTGCGGGGGGAGCTGTGCGCACAGCGAGGGGTCACTGGTGAGCATGGCTGGGGGGGAGCCCTCCTTCCCAGAGCCCTGCAGGAGAGGTCTGTGGGGCACCCAGCCCTGCCCGTGCTCAGGGCAGGGGGACAGGACTCCCAAGGCTGGAAGAACTGGGGAAGGGACCCTGTGGGGTACGCATGGCTCTGGGTACGAGCACAGGACCCCTGCAGCTAAGGGAGCAATGCTTCCCTCCCTCCAGTGTCTTGTGATACCCAATATCCAGTGGGTGCTGTGCTGGGTGGGACCTGTGGGTCACTGCTCACCCTCTGGTGCTTGTGGGTTTATTAAGTGCAGCTGGAGGGCACTGGAACAAGCTGCTGTGGGGCACAGGACCAGCTCCTTGGGGTACAGAGAGTACAGGGTGCCCCAGCTTGAAGGCACTGGTGTGACGGTGGCGGCCCCCTGCCAGTCAGTACTGTGTGCATGACCCCCTTGGGGAGGACCCTAAAGTCTGCTGGGCCCATCTCCCCTGGGCAGAGGAGGCTCCCCTGCCTCTCCTCCCTGCTCCCCTCAGGGGCTGCCCACTCAGCAGGGCCCACTGGTGCTAGGCCCCCAGGGGGCTGGTACCGAAGCCATCCCAGGGGGATCCAGCGCTGGTCCCGTTCTCCCCCTCCGTCTGGTGTGGGGTGGGGGGTGCGCAGCCGGCCCCCTCGCTCTCGGGCTCGAAGATGGGATTGCAAAACTCCGTCTGCAAGACACAGAGCAGGTGGCCAAGGGGCTGGTGTGCCCGTGGTGGGGCACATGGGACAGAAGTGCGGTATAGGGCTGCAGGGAGGTGAATGGTGCTTTGTGGTGGCTGTGGGGGGAACATGGGGCATGCTGGTCTGTTCATTAATGGAAGTCAGTGCCCTGCTGGGGTGTGCACGAGGGGGCCAGCCCTGGGTGTTGGGAACAGGCGCACGTGGCAGGAGGGGTCAGTGCTGGTGAGCTGAAACAGGAGGTATGGTGGGAGGGGGATGTGATGGGGTGTCCACCCCACACAAGGCAAAGCAGGTTAAATTAGTTCAATTAACCTCATAGGCTGCCCTAGGAGGAGAGCCAGGGCTCAGTAAAGCTGAGTGGAAGATGACCTTCAGGTGGGGTGGTCTAAAGGGATGAAGCTGAGAGCAGAAGGGGTGGCTGGGGAAGCAGTTGCTCCCTGGAGGAGGGAGTTTGGGCAGTAAATCAGGGGTGGGGAGTGCATAGCAAGGAGTCCAGGGCAATAGTGCTGGGGCCTGGGAGCAAGCAGACAGTGGCTGCTGGGCATAGCGCTCCAGGGCTGGAACCTGGGGTAGTGGGCAGGCCTGGCTCCCTTCCCTGCTCACAGGGCTGGGAAAGTGGGACAGGGCCTGGCTGTGGTGCAGAAGGACTGTCTGGAATGGCATTGGGACAGTGGATCCAGGAGGGGAGGACAGTACAGTGACCTGGCCAAGGGAGCAGCAGGAGCCCTGGAGAGCGAGGTGGGATGCAGCGTGAGCAGCTGTCGGATGGGGGGAGCGTCAGACCTGAAAGGAGAGACCCCAAGCAGGTGCCTCAATGGTGAGTGGATCCCATGATGGGAGTCAGTGCCAGGCATTGGGGGAGGGGATTGAGGGTGCCTGGTATTGAAGGTGAGCTGGGGGAGCACATGGCACTGAGGGGTCCAGGCTTGGGAGATGACTGCCAGGGGCAGGATGTGGCACCAGCAGCGGGAGCTCTGGGCCAAGCGGGTTCACTGCCAAGACCCCATGTAGCTCCCTCCCCAGTGGCACCTGCCGCCGCCCGTACCTTACTCTGCTCCAGCCTGTCAGGGCACAGTGTGATTTCAGTGAAGTCCTTCATCGCTGGGGGTGATTCCTGGCAGGATCTGGCTAGAATTGCTCCCCCGGTGCATTCCCTGCCCTCGGGATCTGGTGGGCCCTGGCCCCCTCCCATGGCCCCTCTGCCATGGGCATGGCCGCTCCTAATCACTGTGACAGCACAAAGCTGCTTCCAAGGGCCGTGACTGGGGTTCGATCCTTCACCAGGAACATCCACAGCCCTGGGAGTCTAACCAAGGAAACTCCGCTCTGGGTGAGCTCAGTCTGCCTGCTACGGGGACTGTAAATGGCCAGGCTGGCGGCTTTGGCTGGTACCAAACTTTGGAAGCCAAGGAATGGCTGTACTGGGCTCCAGGGGGAGGGGGCTGGGAAAGCAGCTTGGGAGTGAGAATTTTAAAAGCATTAAAAAAACAGCCCAAGCACCAACCCCTCCTCCCCCTTAATCCAACTCAGCTGAGGATGCTGAGGTCAAATCCCCTGGCATGGCAAAGAGGCGTCTTAAAGGGACAGCACTGTTGAGCTGGCTCGGTTGGATTGGTGCTCCCCAGGAGCTGAGGACCCTAGTGGCTCATGCAGCCGGATCTGGGATGCACAGAGGGGTCCCCCATGAAATGGGCGAGATGACTTGCCTTGCTTCCCCTGCACTGTGTAGTGGTGCTGAGGGTAGGTAAGCGGCTGTCGCGTTCCACCCCAGAAGTGGCTACATTGTGGTGGTGGTGGTGGAAAGCACCCCTGTATTCACACCCTACATGCCATTGCACAAAATAGGTCGTGTGAGGGATCATTGAAAACTAATAACTTAATGTAAAGTTATGAAATCCCCCTGTACAATGGGACATGTTCAAAATGCCACAGCCCTGCCTAGGCAAAGGTGTTAAAGTGGTCTGTCCTGAAGAAGGGAATGTGTTTACTTGTGTGCAAATTGAGGGCAGCAAGGTCCTCAAAACAGCAGGGGGAGGAGATGGCAGGAAACAGAACAATTTCCTTCTTTTTGGCTGAACTGTAAGGAGCATGAGGCCTCTTTGCCCACCAGACTCCATGTTGCCTTCCTCACAGCTTGCATAAACTTTGCTTTGAGGGGTAACCTTCAGCAGGACCCACTCCTAAGGTTCCCTGGACTATAAAAGGGCCGAGAACCCCAAGCGATCTCTTTTGCCTAAGAAGACCAAGGCACCTGCACCTTTGTGTCTCTGGAAGGGAGCCTGACCCAGGAAAGGGACAGTCCCCATCTTGCTGGAAGGCTGGGGGTGAGACCATCTCAAACCAAGTTTTGAATCAAAACTTGCTAGATGGTTAGACTTTCAGATGTGTGTTCACTTGTTTTTGCCTGTAGCGAATTTCACCTCTTACACTCGAATTCACTTAATCCTACCTTTTTGTTTTGTTTTTTAATCAAAAACAATCCAGTGCTGTGTGTAAACCAAACTGTTTGTTTAACGCCACTTAAAGCAACAAACTGAATGTTGACTCTTTACAGGGGCAATAAACATGAAGATCCGAACTGTCCAGGAGAGGGCTGGGCAGGGCAGAACACGCGTCTTTGGGGGAAGCTGGGACTGGGAGTATGGTGGGGTCACCCTGAGAGTAGTAACCAAGGCTGCTGAAAGCCAGTGTTGCTGGACCAGGTTGCAGCTATGAACGGGCACTTGTGGTGTGACTAGGAGTCTGGTTGGGAGTGGCAGGTTGGGAGCTACAGCAGCAAAGCTGTGAGGCACTCAGGGTTACAGGGCAAGTGGTGATCCAACCCCTCACTGGTCTGGACTGCACCCCAGAATGGGACAGTAAGGTAGGCTTATCATGTAGTACCTTCCTTAGGAGCATCTCCGAGCCCCTGGCTTACATTGCTCTATGAACCCGCTGCCATCCTTGAGATGTAGAGAGCAGTGTCTATGGAGTTTTCTGTCATTTTATTTAGCCAATGTGTGCCTCAGTTTCCCCTTTATTTTGCATGGTTACTGGGGTTGGGGGAGACTGTTGTGTCTCAGGGCAGGCTAAGAGACATAAGCATGGTTGATTCCTAGCTGTCAGAACCTGAATGGGTCCTTAAAGCACTGGCGGAGGCTGACCCCCTATCGATGGAGAGTGAGAGGACAATGGCAAACCCTGTCACCAGGACATGGACATCTAGCAACCAATGCCCCAGAGGGAGATGGATTTCCCCACATCTCTGCAGGGAAGCTGAGCAGAATCCCCCAGCTCGAGAACCAAGGACGGGGAAGGTGTGAAGGAGGGGGAATAAAAGTCTGCTGGAAGGCATCTGGGTGCTCACCAGGGATCTGAGGAAGGAGATGACAGCACTTGGAAAAGGGGGTTCACTGCAGCTTGGCTGGGCTCTGGGCTAACCTGAAGGACCTTGGAGACTGCTAACCTAAGGACTTGCTGTGCTGTGTTCCAGTTGACTAATAAACCTACTGTTTTGACAATGCTACTTGAGTCATTGCAAAGGCGGGGTGAGGGGTCTCCAAGTCTATCCAGGAACATCTCTCAGTTGGACTTGCTGAACAGGGCTCCCGCTGTGAAGCAGGAGTGCTGGAGCCCCAGAGATTCAGTTGGAGGAAGGGATGAGGCTGCATAGCCTATGCTCTGCAGGAAAAGTGAGACCCCTTGGGGGTCTGTCCCCCGAAGGGATTCCACCTAGAGACTGTTCCAAAGCAGGGGGTGGAGCACAGATCCCATGGAGCTGTCAGTAGGTCAGTGCTATTATCCCTGCCTTGCAGAGGAGAAACTGAGGCACATAAGGAAGTGTTAGCCCCTGTAAGAACCAAGATAGAGGGTTTTTTTTGTTGCACCCCCCCAAGATGCTGAAGTTAGGAGCAGAACTCTCCTAGGAAACCAATGGCTCCAAAGGCACTTTTGAAAATGGGACATTGGCTCCCAAGTCACTTGTGTGCTTTTGAAAATGATTTTCCTAGTGGCCATCACTGGGGCATCTGTGCACCTGCTTTGCCCAAGGTAATGCATCCAGTTGGTGGCCAAGCCAGGAGTAGAACCCAGCAGTCTCAGATCCTAGCCCTCCTCGGTTGCACTGGCATTAGTCAGTGGGAATTCAAGTCTGCTTCTTTTTATACTTGTGTCAGTGATGGGTGCTGCCTGGAACCCAGCTGCAGGGTCAAGTGGACCTGGGGCCTTCTCCCATGGTCTTGAGTCCCTCCCAAGATATGATCCTGGCCCTCAAGCTGCTTGTTTGCTCCCCTGGACAGAGTCCCCCTTAGGGGCTCATGTGTGGCACACCCATGAGATCCCCAGCAATGGCCCCACCTGTGGCCTGGAGGCAGCACGGCCGTCACTGTCCCAGGGGGTCTCAGGGCCTGCACTTTCAGTGGGCTCGTTAGGGGTGAATGTTGGGCCTAGGGGAGGAGTCTGGTTCTCCAGCCTGACAGCAGCTGCAGGGCGGGAAGCAGCTGGTGAGCATTCTCTTGCTCCCTCCAGGGGTGAGGGAAGCTCTGTGTCCAGGCCTCGGCCTGTCCCCTGCACCTGCTTGCTGTGGTGGCAGTTCCTGTCTATAAAGCTACCATAGCCCCCGAACTAAGGGCATTACTGATGCCACCAGTGTCCCATGGGCCTGCACGGAGGGGGGCTGGAGCTGGGTGTGGGGTGAGCGAATTCCCCTGGCTGTGTTTACAGTTGGCTGGGTTGGGTGCAGCGTTTCCCTAGTGCCTGGCGCCAGGGCCCAGCCAGTCACATTCCTGCAGCCCCTCAAGGCGAAGCTGTTTCTCCGTTACTAAGCAGTGGAGAAAAGGCTCATTGTTCAGGAGCTTTGGGGAGAGCTGAGCTGAAGGGGGAGTGTCCAGTACTTAGGGCTCCCAAGTCTGGGGCGTGTTAATGGGTGGTGAGGGGGAGGGGGGGTCACAGCGAAGGGCTTTGCCATGGGCCTGGCTCTCTGCTTCTCTAGCCAGCCCTGGGTCTCTCTTGCAGTGGCCAGGGGTGTCCTAGCTCCCGTTCTGTTTCATGCTGCCCAAGCAGGGTCCAGGGGGGCTTGGTGTAGGCCCCGCTGACCTGCTCTGGTAGGCAGTGGGAATCGTATAAGCCCCCTGGGCAGCCAAGAGCTGTGCCTCTGCACAGAGCATGGCTCTATCTAGCCCACTGCGAACAGTGAGTAGCCAGCAGTGGCCGGAACCCCCTAGCTGGCTGAGCAAACCTGGCCCTGCAGCAGGTTTCCTCAGCTCACGCCTCGGAGCTGCAGCGTTCGTGTGGGACGAGTGCGGCCTGTCCTGCAGCGTTAGTCCGGGGCGCACGCAGCAAGGCAAAGCTCTGGGGGTGGGGGTCAAGCTAAAATTTATTCCTGTACAAGTGTCCCTTGTACTCGACTCTTCCACTCCCCCCGCATCTTGCTTACACAGTAAACAAGCAATAACCAAAACAGCAACACTGCTCTGCTCAGCCTCCCCCAGCTGCAGGCTGGGCTGCTCCCCTAGCCAGAGATCCTGATCCTTCCCCTGCAGCAGGCGCTCCTAGCCCCGGCCATGTTGAAAGGGGCACTGGCTGAGCAGTTGGAAAATGTCCCTTTCAATCTTAGTGTCAGTCCTCTTAGAGCTGTTCCTGGGGCAGGGGGCAAGGTGGGGGTGAGGGGAGCAGGGCCTCTGCAAAGAGGCTGCAATACCCCCGCAGTGCTGTGCCAAGAACAGGCAAGTGGCACCACTCAACGTGCCAGTGGGGGTATCTCCAAGCGGGCCTGGGGGCTGCTCGGCCATAGGGTCTGGTGGGGATTTTCCCCCCCTGCAGCCAGATGCTCTGAATGTGTCTGGGGGGAAGGGGAGGAAGAGAATAAATTAGAGAAAAGATTAAAAAGGCCATTGAGATTCCCTAGCCAGTCCAGGGCAAGGCCAGTGAGGCTGGCTTCATGCCTCTGTGGGAGGGAGAGGCTGCTGCTCACCAGCCCCAGGTACTCAAAGCACCCCCCCAAAAAAGCTGGTTCCCAGAAAGCTGTAGGCCCCTATGGCATAGGCTGGGCACGCCACAGAGGATTATGGGAACATTAGTTCAGCTCATATGCCCCTCCCTGCTCCCAAAACGATTTAAGGCACAGTTGTATAGCAGGCCGGTAAACCCACCCAAAGCGAGTCTCTTCCCCCATCACCGCTGCTCCTAGCAAGGAGGGCCCCTAGAAAACCGGCGTGGGCACTGTGGACTGAGAAAAGTCAATTACAAATGAACTCAAGAATGTCCCCCAAAGCGCCGAGAGGTAGAACAGTCACTCTGGGACCTGTCCTGGGCTCTGTGTGCACCGCCGGGCGTCATCCATGCAAACCCAGTCATAGCCTGGCCAGGGAGTTTCAAATCAATAATTTGCTGCCACGACTGCTCCACAGGCAGAGCCACCAGCCAAGCTGCCACGGGCTATTGGAGAAGGGCGGTGGGCTATTAGTCTGGTTCGGAGGAGCAGGCCCCGACTGCAGGGAGCAGGGTGGGGCCGAGCCGGAGAGCAGGTGCGGTGTTTCCATAGTGCAATTCCAGGCGGGGTTCCCCAGCAGCAGGCTCCAAATGGTGTGGTTGCACCAGGACGAGACGGAGGCACTCCTGGGTCCCCAAACCCCACTCGTCTCTGCCCCAGGGTGGGGAGGGGGTGGTTGCTTGGAGTTAACGGGACAGGCAGGCTCCTGCGCCCCATGGCATTTATTACACACCAAAGAAAAGAGCAAAACAAGCTAAGAATCCAACCCCTGCCCCTAACAACAGGAATCG